GCCAAGACTCTCAGCTTTAATTGAATAGAGATAATAAACTGTGTTTGAGTCACGCAGAAGTGACAGTGACAGATTCAGCCAACCAGTCTGAACAATTCATGTTATTTCTAGAATTTTGGATGGTTCACACTTGATTTATGGAAATGAACATGCTCTGAAGAGAAAGCCAAACCTGCCTAGTTGATGCCGTTAGGAGACAGTTCCTGGAACAGTTCTATAGACAGTGAATGGGAAGCTGACTGACTGGATTTATCAACACAGTAACAGAACCCTGGCTGACAGGCCCATTTCCAAGTTTGTACAGTACCTGACAGCACTGTAGTACATAAATACACAGGTCATTTACAAAAGCTTAAAAGTACTGAAACTAAATCTGGCATTTTATGAGTCATGCAAATCCAGGATTGTAATTCAGTGTTAGTGGAGCATGATCAGGATTTGTTTATTTCTGGAATCACAGATCAAACCACAGAGTATTGACAGTTCAATCTGTGATGGTGAAATACTAACTTGACACAAACTGAATTTATGGGATGATTTTTACAGCAGTTTCAAACCAAATGCATGCAGAAACGGCAGACTGAATTTCAGACTTTTGTTTTCTTGCACTGTGCCCATGCCACTGCTCAATCACAAGCAGATTTCAACACGTTTTAAAGCTCAACAGGAGCTGCTGGTGATCCATGTCACAAATTCAGTAATGACAGATGGACATAATTTAAACAGAACAGAAAATACTCGATGAAAAGTTATGGGGTATACTACAAGAGTTTACAAATATTAGTGTTTTTATAGTCCTGGCCCTTTCACTCACCCCTACTAACAGCTGTTATGCACAAGCAAGAGCGCTCCTTGTGCCAACTGACTGCAATTACCTGGCTCAACTCAGAACCTTTTCCCCACATTTAAAGAGCCAGGACCACGTGAGCACACATAGGACTTTGCTGAATTTGAGAGTGTGTAATGAATTAGACTTGTGGACTATTCCTTTAAAGTGTGTTGTTGACTTTTTTTTCTGCAAGGAACACATGGCAAAGACTGTTGTTTTTCTATTTGCTTAAAACATTTTCCACCCTTAATCATGTACAAAAAAAACAAAACATCCAAAGTCATTTTTTCCTGAGGCTTACATATAATCACCTGAATTGTCATTTCTGATGGCTGAGGTGGGACTACACATTAAAACCCCATTAAAGTTTCCATTATTCAACAGAGCAGATGGATGTGATGAATAGATTGGTCCAATCACCACATATGGCCCCTACCTGCCATTAATCAGCACAGGCTCACATGCTGTGGGCTACAAATGAACGGCTGTTGAAATCACAGCTGTACTTGCCTAATGCAGAAATGCTCCAAAATCAGGTTCAGTCAGCAGACCTGCAGACCAGATCACACTCAGCACTTCAGCACCAACTATGAATAAGCAACCGCTGGGACAGAGGGACGGAATCAATCATACATGAGTGGCAGCTTGCTCAATAACTGCCGTTTGCAGTAAATGTATACTTGCTGAATATGCTTTTTGCTCAGGAGTAGGGTAATTGTAATTATACCCTGGACTCCATCTGGATTCCTCTCTCATATAGGAAAGTAAGGTTATAGAAGGCTAAACAGACAGGCAGGAGTTTCCTTGCAGTGTCTATGCTGCACCCACCTAGTTCAGGGCACTTTGTGAATGGATGTTATTTAATGTTGCCCCTGCATCTCTCCACCAGATTGCAAAGACACAATCGGCGGAAAACTAACCTCCTCTTGTGTATGTTTATCCCTGCGCCAGTGAAACAAATGAACTGCACCAGAGGGGTTTGGCAAAAACATAAGCCACTTGTTTCCTCCAACAATTAAACTAACAATCACAAAACAAAGGACAATGATGGGCATTATTGCACTTATACTTAATTTTTTTAAGTGTATTTGTCAAGCCACAGTGAGTGATAGTGTCAAATAAAGGCTACAGTGAATGTGACATGAGCGAACAAGAGGACGAAGAAAGTGCAAGGGGAGAAAATATCATCCATTCATCATTTAATACAGCCACACACCCTGTAGAATAGGATGTGACTGGAATACACATCCCAAAAAGCAAAACAATACAGCAAATTGCATTGACAAACAAAGAAATGTATCTAGTTGCTCCAGTGCCACAGAAATTAGTTTGAATCAAGTACAAGGCTAGCCTCAAACATCTGTTTATGCATTCAAGTTAAAACTGGAGGAGAGCACAAAAACACAGTTTGATGTATTACATGCAAAACAACCATTTTAGGTCTCTGCAGATCAATTGGTTCAAAGGCAGAACACCCTGCTTCCAGGAAATTAATTTCAAGCATATATTCTGTTACCATAATTGCTTTCGCTGTAATATGGGTTCTATTGCTCACAACTGAAAAAGGTCCAATGTGAGTTCATTGGCACTGGTCGCCAGCATAAGGCCTGGAAGAATGAATAGGGCTTTCTCACACTCTATTGGACAAACTGCCTCTTTTGTCCACCAATGCTTCACTATTGTCATGACTGGAGACATGGTAAGCTAATACTGGGGAAACACTACACACATGTAGCTTCCCCATCTGTGAAAAAAATCTTCCCTTGTGAACAAATAAACAAAACAAAGGCCATTCATCACTGCAGATGGAGACAAACCGCTTCCACGTGGCAAAGTGAA